TGTAGTTAGCATTGCTGAATATCAAACAAGGTATCTCTGTTTAAGGTTCCCTGATACTGGCTTCTCTAGCACCATATTCTGTATGCCTTGATGGTACAGAGAGTGTCTTCAATGACGTTACTTTCAAATACCCTCCAGTACCTAGATCAACACAGTAAAGCTCAGTGGCCTAGACACATACATATCTGTAAGTGATTTGATCTTAAATCTGACCCAGTGAGTTCACTGAAATTGTTCTATGTGTGGGCCCATGGTGATTAAAGATGCTTGACCCTCAAGATAGAAGAAAGGCCATGTGTTTGTGCCTCCTAGTATTTGACTGCATAGATAGCCTTAAGTGCCATCGGGGCATGCATTATTTCATTTCTTCCAGTTTTCTTGTTGGAGGATTGGGGGTTCAGAATTTATAGCAGGTCTTATGTAAATATATTTAGAGAAAATTGAGTATGGCCTAGGATGAGAAGGAAGGAGAAAGGAAAATACTTCTATGAGAGGGAAACTTTGGTGAATTTTTAAGGACCTACTTTACACCTCAGTAATCATGGACGACTTTGATGTTACAAATGGAGCATGTACAGGCAAATTAGTCTCTTTTCCCAGCCCAGGTAACGAGATGATGTGGTGCGGCAAAAACCATCATTTGTTGGCTTCATAATGGTTCTGATTTGTCAAACAGTAGGATCCATGTTGGTAGAAAGGTGTGGGATGACTTTGGATGGAGGTCCTGGGGGAGGGGTGCTGTTTACACACCTTTGAGAAAAAGAGAAAACTTCAGTCCAAGGAACCAGATGAGCAAATATAGTCTCACTAATACCTGATCCATACAGAGCATCCAAAGTGACCCTGACAGGAAGGCATAAGAGCCTTCTTGAAAGGGATCCTGGTAGGTACAAAGAGCTTTGTGTGTCAAGATAAAGTTTTATATACAAGGGTTTTTTGCTTTATGTGTGGATATGACCTAGTAAAGAATCTAAAGATACCATTCCTAGAGCATACCCTTTTCCCAGTGCAATGAGACAGTTAGAAGATTACACACCCCAGTTATACGCTTCCTTGGCTATGTGACTTTGGACTATTATCTATCTTCTGCACCTCTCTCAAGGAGATGGGACTAATATCAGTGTTTCCAGCAGGTTATTGTAGATGATATATAACATGGTATATCAATGGTTTTCAGAAAGGCTGGAGCATTGTTGTCTCTCCACGGGTGGCAACTACTATTATTATATTGCTCTCATACCATAGTTTATCTATGTGCCTCTGAATCATGACCATAGAGCAAAACAGGAACATTTATTTAGAGAGACTTTGTCTTAACTCTGAGCTGCAGTTAGTTCTTAGCTCTTCCCCCAGCTGGTCTCCTAAGCATGAGTTATAAGCCCAAACACTAGTGTTTACAAATCCATGGGTGGGATAGTAAGACCAGCTTGACATTCTCATACTTTGCCTCTCAGGCTATGTGACGTCTTTCCCCATGGGGTATCATTTCTACATTGTCTTTAATTGCTTTTTGCTAGGGCTGCTTGTCAACAGGCTGCTTTTCTGTCACTTGATACCACTTGTTTTGTCTAATTCAGTCCATCAGTTTGGGATGCTTGCTTAGGTGGGAGACAGATTTTCCAGAGAACACAGTACCAATGTTAATCCACCTTGAGCAAAGGTCTGGCTGGTCTTCCTGTTTCTTGCCCGGGTGCACATACCCAACTCATCGGTGCTCTTACCCTAGCTGTGGAATGGTTCTGCTTAGGGTATGTGTAGTAGGTGAAGGGATGGATGAGTGAGTGTCAAGGTGCTGCAAGTCAGTTGCCCTCCTGCCCCTTTCTTCTTGGCGGTAGCTATTCCACAGAATCTCACCTTGGAGATTCTACTAGTTTCCAGTATAGTTCTAACATTACTGCAGATCAGGATGCTTTTCCCTAGATTTTTTTGTACCAGTTGAGAAGTTGCTGTGTTCTATTATTTCTTCCTGACATTAACCTGAAAGAACAAAGTGAACATTGTGAAGGGGTAGATTGAGGAGATGAATAAAATTGAGATTCAGAAAGGTTACAAGTGTCAACAAATGAAAATGTTGGCTCTTTCTTCACTGTTGGAAAAATTCTACACACACAGGCAAGCAATTTGGGGGTCATGATAGAAAGCTTGCTGCCCAGGAGTCTTTGACAGAAGTCTAGTTATCACCAACTACTCTTTTCTGATTTTCCCAATCAGAAATCTGCATTCAGAAATCTGCATTCTGCTTATCATTGTCAGTTGCCCACTCAGGAATGTGCCCTCCCCGTGGGAAGTTGGTCATCATATTCACTTAAAGGGCATGTTTTGTCTTGGATCTCTGTAAGGACAGGTGGTTAAGCATCTTCTCTATATTTTATTGTTCATGGAGCCAAGCCTCCTCTTTGTCTTTTGGATGAGTTACTGCTGCCTACTAATAATTTTTTACTGGGAGAAAAGTCAAAGGCATTTCATCCAGATACAGACCAAGGAAAAGCTTGGTTCCCATACAGAGATCACACATGCTAAGGTATCATAGTGGGAGTTAGAAAGGAGACAGTACTAGTCAAACTCTGATTGCTTCTTTTATGATTTGTTTGTTTGAGTTTTTGCCTCAGGATCCTGCTGTCTTCTTCTTTGTTCATGGTCAGTCTGGTGAAACTAAAACAAGAAACTCAGCTTCTGAACTGGGAAGCTGATCACATATGACTCTCTATAATGTTAATAAGTTGCTTCCTGGGCGTTGATACCTCCTGGGCAGTACTAGTCAATATGCTGGCACTTCTGCCCATAGACTGTGGAACTGATGCATGGATTCCTGTTCTATACTGAGCAACGTTACCCCTCTGTGCTGGTTCCTTAGCTACTTTATGTGTCTTATAAGATGAAAGAATGACTCCAGGCTGGACAAAGAAGTGGTGTCTGAGTGGGATGGTAGATGATAACCCTTTAGTATAGCGACTTGTATTAGGTGTCTGGTGTTAAAAATCATTACTATTCTCAGTGTTATTGACTATAGTTCAGTCCATAGTCAGGGTTACAGAATAGATGAAGAATTTCCAATGCTTTGTCATAGTTGTGGATCACACTGGCTGTTATTGTTCAAAGTCAACAGCTCTGCTCAGTTACTGCCTGGTAACAGGTTAGAGGAGGGAAACATCGTGTAGGTGGATGTTACACTAAAATCCAGTTCTGGGACTAGAGAGCTCACTCAGCAGATAAAATCCTTGCTATGCCAGTGTGAGGACCTTTAGTTCAGTGCCCCCATAACCCACATAAAACCCAAAGCAGTGATGGAGACAGAGACAGGGACAGGATAATCTTTGGATAATCTCTAGTTTATCTCATACACCAGATAAACAGCAGCAAAGAAGAGGCCCTATTTCAGACAAGGTAGAAAATGAGGACTACTGCCTGTGGTTGTCTTCTGACTTTTGTATGTATGCTGTGGCACATATTTGCCTGGACTCAAACACAAGAACATACACACAGAGAAAGAAAGAGGTGGATAGGTGGGGGAGGGGAGAAAGCCTATGAAGTTAAAGAGATAAGTACTAATAAGAATATTTTAACATCTTTTGAGAAATCTAGACTAATCCCCATGGCATTATGGATTATTCCAGGTTTGGAAAATACTAAAAAGATAACAAACTTTTTTTTTTAAGTTGGTATTCTCACTTTCCCACTCACTCACTCACTCACTCACTCACTCACTCACTCACTCACTCTGCTTGAGACGGTGGCCATGGCCATGTGGTGTAGACTGAGCCTTGGGAAGAACACGGAGATCGAGATCCTTGATACACCTCTTATAGAGCAAATTAGTCTCTGCAATAAACATTTTTTTGTAAGTTCAGTTCTCATATAAATGTCCATAACTGACTAAATTAGGGTAAAGCCCTGCACACCCTCCTTGTAACCAATACTCATAACTTTCAACCATTTAAACGATCTTTTTTTGTGTGTTTGTGCTGTGTATATGTGTGTAAATAAGGCATGACATGCCATGGCATGTGTGTGGAGGTAAGAGAGCAACTTTGGGTTTTAGTCTTCAGCTTCTACCTAGTTTGCGACTCAGCCTCTTGTTTGCTGATGCGTATGCCACTTTATCCAGTTCATAGGATTCAAGGGGTTCTCTGATGTCTGCCTTTCATCCTGTCATCAAAGCACTGGGATTACAGAAACAGACTATGACATCCAGCTTTAAGTGGGTTCTTATGCTTGCATGGCAAGCACTTTACCCATTGAGCGATCTCTTCAGTCCCAGTCAATCATTCTTAAAGGTAACACATCCACATGGTTTTGAATAATCAAATAAAACAAGAGGACATTGTGAAAATGTAAGTCTCACAGTCCTGACTATGAATCCCATAAATCCACTCTCCTGACAATTTCATAGTTCATAATTCTTCCCAAAGACACTTTATGCTTATGCAAACCAACACATTTATGACTCTCCATTTTCATATAATGGTAATTATCATTTTTCTCCTGCTCCTATACTTTAAAAAATGAGTTGGAAGGACTCATGTGAAAAACTGAGGCAATACCCAATTTTACAAGGCAGCATTGTATTCCATTGTAGAGGTGTATCATCCATTATTGAAGGCTATTAAGGCTGTTTGTGACCTTTTCCCAGTGATGCTTTAGAAGTAGCTGTGTGTATTTTGCTTCTGTACAACTCAACCTTATCTTGAGCTTTGCTTGTAAACTCATACTGATAACTTTCTGACATCCATAAACTGGGCTACAGGGAGAAAGACAAAAAAGCTCACAATGGCAAAGTAGAGGCTCAGCTGGGGCTTGTATATATGCCCCAGACAGCTCTTGGGATGCGCTTTTGTTGTTGTTGATGATGATGATGATGATGAGTCTTTTGTTTCACATGTTGTTTCTGAGCATTATGTCCTGAAGCCTCTTCAGATCCTTTTTCTGGATGTCCCGTGAGTGATGGATTGGTAGTGTTTGCAAGATTGATTCATATGGCACTTTTGTTTGGCTTTTGACAGGTTGTTTATAAGAATAATGACATCCGGCTGGAGCTGTCTCGCTTGGCCCGGATTGGGGACACCAAGATGAAAATCTACGGTGAAGTTGTGTTCAAGTGTGAGAATGTGGCCACACTGGACCCCATCAACTTTGAGACCCCGGAGGCTTACATCAGCTTGCCCAAGTGGAACACCAAACGCATGGGCTCCATCTCCTTTGACTTTCGCACCACTGAGCCCAATGGCCTGATCCTTTTCACTCATGGGAAGCCTCAAGAAAGGAAAGATGTCCGGAGCCAAAAGAACACAAAAGTTGACTTCTTTGCCGTAGAACTTCTTGATGGCAATCTGTATTTGCTGCTTGACATGGGCTCTGGAACCATCAAGGTGAAGGCCACTCAGAAGAAAGCCAATGACGGGGAATGGTACCATGTGGACATTCAGCGTGATGGCAGATCAGGTAAAAAGGCCTAGGACTGAGACTAGATAAAAGCAGTTGCTCCCCCACCCCTGAGCTTTATGCATTTATTATGACTTTCACTTGCATGCTCACCTGTCTCTCCACTATTCTCTAACAGTACTTTAATTCTCTAATGGCTGTTGAAAAGGGATATTTATGGACAAGATGCCTGAGTTGTAGATGACTAGTATTCTTAGTATTGCTATAATTCTGCAGAATGGTCTCCTGATAGTTCTAAGACCCTAGCACCGTGAGTGATTTTATAAGTAGCATTTTCATTCCTACCACAGACTGTCATGGTTCGACAGCCCCCACTTTTCATCTCCTCTCTCTTATCACCATGGAAACCAACTGTGACATCACAAGTATTGCCTTACATGATTGCTCTGTGGGATAAGCTTCATTGAAAGAGTTTATGCAATGATAGCCCTTCAATAATTGGCAAGAGCCATGTTTCAGGGAGGAATTATGACAAGAAAGGAAACAGCAAATTGATTTTTCCTGAAGTCATGTTCAATTTAAAGCCTTCCTTTGGTGTGAAAGCCCACATTTCACTCTTCTGCTCAGACCTCACTCACTCCCCTTTCCTCTTCATAACCTTTTACATTTGGTTTAAATGGCTTTGTTTGTTTCTGTAGCCACAGATCAAACAAACTAGCTCCAGGCAGTACATAGCTACTCTGGAAGACTAACAAAAAGAGGGCAGGGGAAGGGGGGGCAGCTATAGAGAATTTGGGCTTTTGAATGCCTGAACTGTCTGCCTGGCTTTCTAAGGACCCTCTGGTGATGATGTTCACATTTTATGTTTTTAGTAAGGGTGTTTCCCCAAGAGGACTAAGTATAGCATTTTCATTTCAGGCTCATTTTCTGATTCTTCATCTGGGCAGCAAATAAACAAGACTAGTTTCAGCTTCACTTGTTTCAGTTGTATGGATTACTTCTGTGAATAGGCAAAAGTCTTAATCTGGGCGTTTTTATGTCTAGGTGCCCTTGACCAACAAAACAAAGCAAGAGGTTCTCCCATCTAAAGCTGAAACTAGAAATGGCTGAGCTTCCATGGAATGGCAGCTTTTTCTGTGGAATTTCCCAGCTAGGAGGTGGCACAGATGAGCGATACTGCTCTCAGGAAGATCTGGATGGGGTCTGTGCAGAATGCAGTCAGTGGCAGATTGTGGCCTTGGATGTTTTACTGCCCAGAAGGATTCTCTCTTGATTGTCTGAAATCTCCTCAGATCCAAAAGGCTTCAAATTAAATGTGCTTGTTGAGCAAGAATGAGTGGTTTGTAATTTTTTTTAAGAGGGAAACACAAAAGATTAATTTCTCTAGAGGCTAAATTTCTCTCCTAAGTTCATCAATAAAGTGTCAACTAGAGCAGCAATAGAACACTGCCTCAGAATTGTCTATAACACACTGGTGTTGATTACGACTATGTGTGTAAGTATGTTATGATTGAAGAGTTTTGTGTGGGATTAACTATGACCCTGAAATTATTTAGCGGTACCCACTGGTGTTCCAAGGAGGCTAGTATACATAAAGATACCGTATTAAATTTTTTTATTTTTAGTTATTTGTTTTTAGTTATTCCCTTTACTAATTGCTTTCTCTAGTTGTCTTATTTAAGATTACTATTGTTGTGATGAAACACCATGACTAAAAACAACTTTGGGAGGAAAGGGTTCATTTTGCTCACATGTCAGGAAGAAAAGGAGCTCACACAGGCAGTAGCTGAGGGCAGAAGCCAGGGAGGGATGCTGCTTACTGGCTTGTTCCTTATGGTTTGCTCAGTTTGCTTTGTCATCGAACCCAGGACCACTAGCCCAGGGATGGTACCCCCAACAATGGGTTGGGCCCTCCTTCATCAATTACTAATGAAGAAATGTCCAGCAGAGTTTCTTATAGCCCAGTCTTATGGAGGCATTTTCTTAATTGAGGTCCTCTCATTTCTGATGATTTTAGCTTTTGTCAAATTGATATAAAACTAGCCAGTGTACTAGTATAGCTATCTTGGTTTGCATTTTAGAATCATTGGGGACGCATCTTCTACAAATAAATTTTGATTTCAGGAACCTTAGATTTCATATGTGGAAGCTATGGAATTGAAGTTCTTATAATTTTGATTAAAGCCTATAAAATTTACTAAGTAAACAATGATGAGTTCAGGAAACTAGTGTGACATTACATTGCCATATAATCTATTACACTTCATTTCTTTGTGAGGATAATTTTCAGGTTGTTCTTTTTTTTTCAGTTAGCTATTAATCTTTTCCAAAATAGATATCTGTAAAAGAAGTGTGTTCAAATGTGCCTTTGTCCTTGAGCATTCAGAAGAATAGCTGGCCTGAGAGATGATCCATAAAACATCTTATGATCACTCCTCAGTGGAGAAAATTTAGTTTTAAAACCTCAAAAGCACATTCAAAATGTGTTCAGCCATATATTCAGAGCATAGGCTTTCTGTGGGATACAGTCTAGCCTTCAAATTGATTCTCATCTTGTCAATACTTGGCAATCTGCGTGTCTCTTGTCTCAGTTTCCTTCTCATAGCTACTATAAAATATCCTGTCTTAAGCAACTTAAGGGAGAAAGGATTATTTCTGTTTACAGTTTAAGAGAGTACAGTCTATCATAGCAGGGAAGACATGATGTTAGACACAGGGGGCACGGTGGTAGGGGCAAGAGGCTGGCCTTTCACGTTGCATCCACGCTCTGAAAGCAGCGAGTGAACCGACAGTTAGGCCGCACTGTCAAGTCTCAAGGTCTCCCTCCAGGGACCACCCACCTCTTCCAGCTATGTTCCATAACCTTTCCCAACAGAGAACCAGCTGGGGAGCAAGCGTTCAAACACATGAGCATGTGTGGTATATTTCCCAGTCAATCCATATAAAATGAGGTCCTGGAGAGATGGCTCGGCAGGGTTAAGAGTATTAATTGCTCTTTCTAAGGACCCATGTTTGATTGCCAGCTTCCTGAGGGTGGTTCAAAACTATCCATTGGTTCCAAGGGATCTTGTGCCTTCTTCTGAACTCTGCAGGCATCAGGTATGTATGCCGTACACACATGCAGCTGAATTCAAAACACTTAGACATATAAAATAAAGTATGTTAATACAAAATTTAAATACATAAAATGCTTAAATTGGTAGCCAGGATATTATTTTCTGTTGTATGGAATTTTTGAAATATTAAGAATAAAATAGGCAAAGCCTATTTCACTAGGAGACAGCTTGTACAGAGAGCTAAGGGAGGGTTGCTGGGTTTATTCTACCCCAATCCCACACTAGGGCCCTTTATGTTCTTTTCATCCCATTCTCCTGTTGTAATTTGGAGTGCACATACCATAATTGTGATCTTCTATGGTCTGATTCAGCCCTTAGGTTGTGTGCTTACTGGCTAGGGGAGCTGAGGCCCAGACAGGAGGGCAGGAGGTGAGGCTGACTAATGGATGGTACTGTCCACTTCTCTCAGTACAAATCTTTCAAGAATAATGCTAAATATATATATATTATATATATAATATATTATATATAATATATATAATATATAATATATATTATATATAATATATATATTATATATATAAATTAAAACAAATATATATAAAAATTAAAACAAATATTTATATATAAAGTAAAACAAAAAAACCAACCAAACAAACAAACATAAAAAAAACAAAAACAAACAAATAAATCCATAATTCTAGTGTGGTGCTCAGATATCGCCTTGTTCATCTCCTAATTTTCCAGTTCAGGAATCAGCTGTAATGGTGTCAAGGGACTGACACAGGGTGGAAAAAGCCATGGAGGACAGAAGTATTTCTTTTATTTCTCAAGGCCAGGCACTAGGTTGCAGCTTCTAAAATCTCATTTGGCAGAGCCCATTATTCTGCCCCTCCCAGGATATACCTATGTTTCTGGGCTCACCACTTCTTGCCTCTTTGATTATGAAAAAATTTCCTCCTGTTGTTAGGGCTTTTAAACAACAACAACAGCAGCAGCAGCAGCAGCAGCAACAACAACAAAAACAATATACTCCATAGTAATAATAATCATTATTAATAGTTGTATGTATACTATGGAGTGCATATAGATGTCGGGACAATTTCAAGAAGTTGATTCTTTCCTTCTGCCTTTACCTGAGGAGCAGGGATCAAGCTCAGGTTGTCAGGTTGGATCCATAAACACTTTTGCCCAACGAATGACCTCACAGGCCCCTCAGGGCTCTCTAAGTGCCAGTCTCCTGCCACACTGCTCTTTTTGTTAAATTTTGCGGGGCTGGATCTTTTACACATCTCTGTTTTAACTGTTCTTCATGTTGAGATGCCTTCTGTGACTACACACTTTAAAGTGGACCCTATGGGCTGCTCTCATGGCACCCAACTGGCTTTTTCTGTAACACTTGCTATTAGCTAATCTTCTTAGATCATCTATTGATCTTCTGCCTCTGTGCTCTGCAAAATCAGCTTTGTAGAAAAACTCTGCCTGACAAGCTCAGCACTGTTCCTGTAACTATCACTGGAGAAAGAAGGATGTTCATTTAAGAAGGCACGAAGAAGCACATTCCATCCAGGTGTTGTGGCTCACACCTGTAATTCCAGCACTCGGGAAGCAAAGGCAGGAGGGTGACTGTTAGGTTAAACCCAGTTCAGTTTTCAAAGCAAGTACCAGGCCAGGTATGGCTACTTAGCCTCTATCTAAAAGCAAAACAAACACACAAGCCAAAAAACAGCTGAAGGCGATGCCTGAAATTTTGGCCGAAAGAGTGGGCAGTCAATGCCCAGGATACCGAGTATCCGTGGATAGAGAAAAGCCAATCCTTTGAGGACTCATGTTCTCCTGAAGAGGATATAGGTAATGCAGAGTCATTCGGTCCCTGGCTTTGCTGTAATTACAGCAGCCTGTTAGTTCAGAATAATTATTTTTTCTTTCAGAAATGAAAGGTGAAGTCTGTTCTTCAAGGCAATAAAGCTGGCAGTTGGAAGAGCTGGGACTTACCCTCCTCTTGCCTTCTTTTGTATCTCATCTCTCAGCGAATATGGTTATAAAGAGATGTACTGGGTTAGTCATTGGGTTTCTTTTTGCTTCGTCCTATGGCCCAGGCCATCCTAGCTTCAGAGATCAGAACTAAGTGGCCCTTATCACCAGTTTGTAGCCATTCTTTCTCCAATTCCAGTGATGTCTCCTGACAAGGCAATGCTGATCTCCTCCACTCCCCTGTGGGGTGGCTTTCCTTTAAGCAGCTCCAGAATCGCACCTGAGATGCGAGAAAGCCTTTATTCCTCACTGTGTGCCTGCCTCCCATTGCAGGTACCATCTCTGTGAACAGCAGGCGCACGCCATTCACCGCCAGCGGGGAGAGTGAAATCTTGGACCTGGAAGGGGACATGTATCTGGGCGGGCTGCCAGAGAATCGAGCTGGCCTCATTCTCCCCACGGAGCTCTGGACCGCCATGCTCAACTACGGCTATGTGGGCTGCATCCGTGACCTGTTCATTGATGGGCGCAGCAAGAACATCCGGCAGCTGGCGGAGATGCAGAATGCGGCGGGCGTCAAGTCCTCCTGTTCACGCATGAGCGCCAAGCAGTGTGACAGCTACCCATGCAAGAACAATGCGGTGTGCAAGGACGGCTGGAACCGCTTCATCTGCGACTGTACTGGCACCGGCTACTGGGGAAGAACCTGTGAAAGAGGTGAGTGGCATTTCCAGGCCTGAGCGGAGCGATTTGTGGCCCAGGGGCACCTTTGCTCAACCCCGTGATTTGTCTTCTCCCAGACAACAGGGTTGGGGGCTGTAGTTTTTGGGCACTCATCCTTTCTAGTTGTGAATGGTTAAATTTGTTTGGTCAGTTAGTTGGTAGTAAGGGGAGCTTCATAATAAGCACCCCCACTGTCACAATACACTCTAAATATCTTCTATAGATAGGGAAGGTTCTAGAAGTGGCAAGCTGGTTGCTTCCTTTAGTCCTTGAACTCAAGCTTCCTGAGTACTTTCTGCAGGCTGAATCCTGGGTTGGTCTCCAGAAGCAGAAATGTGTCTATCTCTGTCTTCATGGAGCTGCCTGTCTGTTGGGATCAAATAAGTACTTACAAACATGGTGAGTTTTATAAGAGGCTTAGTGGATATGGTGGAATATGAACAAGATCTCTAGAGCCAGTTGGGATGAGAATTTGGGCCCCCACATTGTCATACGGGTTCCTCGAAGACAGTGTCTCTGAGACTTGATTTACTCATTTGTACAAAGACAGGCAGCCAGGGAGCCTGTCTCATCAGACACTGCTGGTGACTGAGTTAATGGGTTCCTGAATTAATGCAGGAAGCATTTCCTACATGTTAGTGATTACTCTGTGGTTAGTTATTAGTGCCAGCATCATCAAAAGGAAGGTACAGAGGGGCAAAGATACCCAGAGTACTACGGGGATTTAGACAGTATTTCTGCAAAGAAGCAGTACAAAAGAGATAACGTGAACACAGTGGGTATTGGTTTGGCAAAAAAGTGATAGGAAGGAGTGTGATCTGAACCAGAAGGGCAGTGTGCACTAAGGGGCAGATGTGAAGCCAGGCCAGAGCGAGAAATAGGTGAGATGTTTTGTTTTCATCTAAACAAAGTTGTAAAGTACTGGGTATATGGCAGGTCACTGTCGCGGTGACAACTGACCCTATAGAACAGGCAGAGTTTCCGCTCTGTTGTCTTGGGTCCTCTCTCCATGCACAACTGAAGCACTTTACATTGCCCTCAACTCAAAAAAGAAGATACGGATGTTAACAAAAAGACAACGTTGAGACAAAAAGATTCTTAGCTGGGCTCAGTAACGCCTGTATTCCCAGCTCTTGAGGCTAGCCTGGTCTACAAAGCAAGTCCAGGACATCCAAGCCCACACAGAGAAATCCTGTCTCAAGACAAAACAAAACAAAGCAAAAACCCCAAACAGAACAAAAATACAGGAAAAAAAATCAAGGAGATTCTTGTTTGCAACTCATGTCCAGATGGCAGGTTGTCCTGTTTTATGCTGGCTGTGGATTATAGTGATCTCCTTTATGTGAAAGGTCACTTTACACAATAAATTGTTTTTGAGGATCTACAGTTCTACAGCTTTGAGGAAAGGGATAGAATCTGCAGTAGGCATACTTGTATTCTCTAAAGTTTATCATTTATTTGACAAAGGAGTGCAGATTTCTATGAAGGACAACAGCATATATTCTGCTAGAGGACAGAGGAGGTTGATGTGGAGAGCCAGAGAAACAGAGACTATCGTGAAGACATACCTGTGGGGCTTCATTGTTGAAGATCAGCAGTACTCAGAAGCTCTGGTAATTGAAACTACAGTGATGGGAGAGACACTGGACAAGGCTGGAGTGGTGCTGAGCAGTTGTTTTCAAAGAGTGTTTTTTGCGAGGCCCATAATGTTACTTCAAGAGAATAACAAGCCTGCCTAGGTCCCCTTGATTCTCTGTACCTTCTCCTTGATGATGCTACTACTAATAACTTATTATAGGCCAATAACTAATATGTATTAAACACTTGCTACCTTTCAAAAACCCACATTTCAAGAGAACTGCAAGTATTCCCTGCAATCAAACCGAAAACAAGACACAGGACATTAGGGTGAAGGAGAAAAACGAGAACTTTCTTGTAGCTTTGGAATTTAAATTTAAATTCAAATCCACTGCATTTCCAAAGCAGCAACCATAATATGAGCTAAGATGATGAGGCAGCCATCTGGAATAGAAATAGGCCACATGGGGTTGCTAAGTCTGTCAAGTGGCTGGACTCTTTCCAAATGTCTTTGTAGGGTAGCCTACCCTGGTGCTGTTTTGGAGAGATGGAAAGGTCATTTGACCTCTGGGATGGAGGAGACTGATTTGATGTGAACCAAAGTATTGAGGATTTTACACTGTTTATAAAAGCAATGTAACAGCATAAGGTAACGTCAGACACCTCACTTCTTCCTCTTGTAACTCACAGGCCTTGTGGTGTTAGAGGCAGGAAGCGGTGACCGTAGCCAGCTGTGCAAGGTGTCCATAATCTCATCTATTCCAAGGGCAAATCAATGGGAGTTGGTCCAGATTTGGCCAAGTACAGTGAAAGTCATTGCATCTTTTACATTGTCACTTTTGACTAGTCATTAAAAGGCAGCTGATTGGGGAATATATGAGGGACAATTATTCTTGGTACAATGCAGCCAAGAGACATCCATTCTGGCTAAATGAGACTCAGCTTTAGCAAATTTAAGACATTTGATCTATATATTGCTCAAGTCCCAGACGGTTCAACTGATTGTTTTGTTCCCCCACTAATTGTTTTTTGCCCCTCTATTGTTCCTGACACCATGTTCAGAATGAACCACTGGAGTGGAAAAATGAGAAGACTGCACTGTTCGTGAACATAATAGAGCTTCCCAATGACATTGTTTTTTCCCTCTTTGAAACTGATGTAGATTTTTGAGTATTTTTTCTTTGGTTTTTATAAATTTTTCAGGTGTCTAGAACCTTCTAGACACTGTAGCCAATAAAAACAATAAAGAAGTATCTGACAGAGCCCCTTCTTTGGATCAGGGGTCTACATTATGCTCATCTAAAAGAGCAAAGGGTGATGTCAGACATGTTTAATGGATTATAGATGACATGATCAGTGACTAGGAAATTTTGGACAGATAGGTGGAGTGGCTGCTTTTGTACGGGGGAAAGTGGTAGTGGGTGTAAAGGACATACAAAGAGTCTTGAATTTTCTTGTTTGTATTTCTAACACAATTTTGTTTTCCACTACTGATCTTCAGAATACGCAGGCATTTCGGGAGAGTAACAGAGAAGGAAAGTATTTCACATTCTCTTTGTACAGGAGCGTGTGCCCCCTTGGGTTAAGGAATATTTTTCCATCTTCCTCAATATCAGCCTGGGCACTGAAACTATTCTATAATTATTTCTCTCTCTCTCTCTCTCTCTCTCTCTCTCTCTCTCTCTCTCTTACCATTTACATTCTCTATTTTTTTCCTGGAAGTTCTAATGTTGACTCTAAAATTAATCGTTTTTACTAGATATAATAAGACTAAGAAAATTCCTGAGAAGGTATGCCACACGGAGCCTAAAATAACTGTGCCTTGACTCACTTAGATCAACTACCTCACAACAGGAATGTTAGTATTAGTGGAAGGCAATGTGAATAAAGTTGAGAAAGTGATAGCGTGATGGTGAAAACTTCAATTCAGAGTTAGGCACGGCTCAACAATGACACTAGATGAAAATTGCCAACCATCCAAGTAAAATTGGTCTAATGGCCAACTCTACATCAAAGTTGTCCTCCCCAAATGGCAACATAAAGCAAGGGAACTGGGAAATATATAAGAATATGGACTAAGATTAATTTTGTTGTGTAGCTTGCTGCTTAGCTAAATCAGACCACCTTTATTTCTAAACTTTACAGGAGTTGACTTCTTCCTGCAGAGGGAGGAAACTCTAACCATGTAGTTCTGAAAACTGACCCAATGCTGAATTTAACTTTTCTTTTAGAGCAAGGCTTGCCACTATTTTAAAAATATGTAGATAGTGATGACTATCATTATTAGTTTTGGCCCTTTTGGTGTCCTATTCATAGTAAGGTTGGAGCCATCTGTGGAACCTAAAAGTAAAACCTTTTAATAGCTATTTAATTGTAATCAGTTAAATTAATAATTGGGAGGACCACCTGTTCTCCTATGAAGTGCTATGGTATCTTTTTAAACACTGATTTATCTGCTATGTATATGGTGTGTGTGTGTGTGTGTATCCATGCATGCTAGACCACAGAGATTTGAGGACAGCTTGTGGGAACTGTTTTCCCCTTCCCGTGCAGTTTCTGGGGTTGGAATTCTAGTCACCTGTGCTTTTACCCAATGAGCCATTTTGACAGTTCCTATGATGTCTTATAGTGGACAAAAATACCATTAAGCCTGTCTTATTCTGTCCTAGAGATTTCCTCTCTTGACAAGCTGTGACTACTTGACCTTCATTAACATAAAGCAGCCTCCTTTGCACTGTGGCTAACCTGTGAGTTCAGTTGGTGTGTACCCTGGTATGGCAAATCTGATAATTTCATTCCTTAGGGGACCATCAAGCCAAATTTGAGTCTACTGCACATTCTATGCTCATCTTTAAATAGCTTTGTATAAATATATGCGAGATTTATTTGGAAAGAAAGTTCATACTTATGTCAAGAAAATAAGATACCATACAGTGCCTGGGGGCAACCCGACCTCATGATTAAATGCAAAAGTTTTAGAGTCGGACAGACCTGGAATCCTGTTGATTCTGTCACTAATTAGCAAGATGACATAGAGGACCTTAATCTAAGTCTCAGTTCTTTATCTATGAAATGAACATATTACACTTCCTGCCCAAGCATTTTGCTTTTTCTTGAAATCTCCAGAACTAACTAAGACATGGAGGAAGTGGAGTTTCACAGAATGATTATGTGGGAAAGTGTTTATCAGATGATAATCTTAGAGAGGAAAACAGAGCATCTGTAGGGGTCCCCCGAGATCCTCTGACCTTTGGGTTCTTACCTTTTTGACTCCGAGTTTGCATTTTGCGAAAATGAGAAATGCTCCATTCCAGACTGCTGTATTTGTTTGTACGGCTAGTGATCTTCTCTGTCTAGCTAGTCAGTTACCTGCCTGGAATAGACATATCAGACCAGTCACATGTACCTGTGACAGT